CTAGAACGGCAATATGTAAATCAATGGAAGGGTAACTGATGTGATACAGCAATCTGTATACGGGGTAAAATTGGGAGTTCATAACCCACTTGAATCAAACTGTGAAATATGATATATTAAGAACTATGTAATGTTTTGAACGACTAACAATAAAAAAAAAAGAAAAAAAAATCCTGAATTTAATTTGGCAAGTTTCATTATCATATCTAAAGAAAAGAATGTATATATTAGAAAATGAGAATATCCAGGTGTGGTGGTGCATGCCTGTTAATGACTTGGGAGGCTGAGGGAAGAGGACTGAATATTTGAAGCCAGCCTCAGCAACTTAATGGGACCCTCAACAACTTAGGAGACTCTGTCTAAAAATAAAAAATAAAAATAAAATAAAATAAAACTGGGGATGTAGCTCAGTGGTAAAGTGTCCCGGGGTTCAATCCCCAGTACCAAACAGATAGAAAAAGAGAATGACTGCCAATTATATAAAATCAAAGACATTAGTATCACCTGGAAGGGAAGGTGTGTTTTGATCCACAGTTACCTAGTCTTGAGGACAGGTATACATTGTAATTTTGGACAATACCTCAAGTTATCATATCCTGGTGTATTAAATATCTTATTTTGCCTCTGGATCATATTCTTTGCATATATATCTCTGACTTGTCATCCGGTATGTTTCTGTCATTGTCCTAACTCAGTAAGTTTCAAGAATGATTTGCCACTTCTACCCATACCGGATCAATTATAGCATTGATTAGACTAACCTATACAGTTCTAGGTAATTTGGGCTTTTTCCAGTTTTAAGACCTGATTTAAAGTATGTGCTTGGGCTGGGGTTATGGCTCAGTGGCACAGCCCTTGCCTTCCACATGTGGGGCACTGGGTTCGATCCTCAGCACCACATAAAAATCAATGAACAAAATAAAGACATTGTGTCCATGTATAATTTTTTTAAAAAAAATTAAAAAGTATGTGCTTGCCCTGAAACTTCAAATCAAATCAGTCTATAAGTAGTATTAAAATTAGTACTCTGTACTAATTCCATGCTTGACAAAACCATCATAATTTGGTTTCCTATAAATATCTTCTGAAAGAATGCCAGTCCATCCAATACAAGAAGCCTGATTTATATAACAGGCACATTTCTTACAGAAAGAATTACTGGATATTCTGATGCAGTCTGTACTGACTTTGTTTAATGTAAATCAGTATATTCCTATATTAATATTCTCATTATTTCTGGGAATGGATAAAATTGAGCTTCCATATCTGGGAAATCTTTACCTGGACCAAGGTAATTCATACCCTTTGAAGTACCCTGGCAGACATCTAACTGGGTTTTACTCAATGACAATGTTACATTCCCCTGCTGCAAACTTCTTTAAAGTAGTACCAAGTTTAAAATAAAAAATTTTAGCACTGTGTAGTATATTACCAATAAGTCAGACCCAATTTTCAAGCTAGAATATTTAAATTTTGAAGCAAAGTAATTACTTTTGTTCAGTGATATGCAGATTTTAAATGTTGGCTTTTCCTAAATGTATACACTCTTAAGCATTTTTAAGAAGTAGAAAAGAGGCATCTCTAATTTTTCACCAAAATTGTGTAATATATCACTTTTCCAAAATTTCTTGATTACATCTGTTATGACACTTGCTTTATGATCATTATGACTGGTATATTAAGACTAAAAACAAAATGCAAGTGAGTTCCAATACTGAATATGACCAACTTTTATCTTTACAGAGGCAACCATCTACATCATGACATAAAAGCATCAAGAAAATGATTTAAATAAGTTTGAACATCTTATTCATTTGCTCAAGACCAGAATCTACTTCAGTTATGAATAAAATACTTGTGGCATAGGCATATGTTTTCTTAAGACAGCACTCCTTCCTGAATTGTTACCACTGCAAACCTTCAAGTGGCCAAGATAATTTCATTATGGTGTTCTGTAACTCTGCTCAAAGAACTGGGACCTCTCATTAGAAAGTCATCATGGTCTATAGACTCTGTCAGAAGAAAATGTCATAGCCAAATGATTAATTAAAAACCCAAACACACAATAAAAACATTTTTACTTTATTGTCTTAAAAAACCCACAGAGCTGCACACAACTAATGGCAGAGCAGTAGGAATAAAATGAGTTCAAAGAATTGTTATAACCTGACAAAAGAACACAGTGGTTGCATTCTCTGGTGTTCCAAATGGACAAATACACCCACTCATTAACATAAAATTCTTTGCTAAATTTTCTAATCTATGAGACCTCCAGGAAGGTTGGCTTCACAAAAATTATAGGTCTATTAGAAGTGTCAACTTATGATTATTTTTATCTATATAGAAGTCTAGAGAAATATCACATTGTGAAGAGTGGGAGGTAGTAGGGTAAAAACTGACAATATTTCTGAACTAAATTTTTCTGGGATATTCTATAGAAACTTTTTTTTTATATGCTTCCAGATATAAGCATACACAATGCCATCTCAAATCCAGTAGGAAAAGAGTAAGCAGACTTGAGTAAGAGCCAATTACTAATACCCTCTTAACTCAACAATACCAGGTCTCTCTCTCTTTTTTTTCCACTATGAATCTTTTTTTTTAAAATTTTTTTTAGTTGTAAATGGATACAATATCTTGATTTTTATTTATTTATTTTTATGTGGTGATGAGGATTGAACCCAGGGCCCCACACATGCAAGGCAAGCGCTCCACTGAGCTACTATCCCAGCCCATCTACTATGAATCTTAAATATAAGATACTTTGGCACTGTTCTTAAAGTCTTTGCTTTGTCTTCTACAACTAACGATACTATTAATTTCTTTCTTTTGCACCGTAAGACTATCCATACCTTCTCCCACTCCAGTTCAGGTCTTTGTTGCTTCTCAGTCTTTACTACCTAGTTGGCAGCCACAAACCCAGCCCTGTCCCTTTCAAGTGTCAAATAAATTCCAGTCTAAATTCCAAGACTATCTATAATCTGGTCTTATACTTGGCACTTCTCAAGATAAGTCTTTCTTTGCTAGGTCTTAATCCTGCCATTTTTATTTATTTATTTATTTTTTGGGCACTGGGGGTTAAGTCCAGGGTACTTTATCACTGAACTACATACCCAACTCTTTTAATGCCTACACTGGCCTGGAACTAGCAATCCTCCTGCTTCAGCCTCCCAAACTGCTGGGATTATGGGCATGTGCCACTGTGATCAGCTTTCATTCCTTTCATTTATATTTCTTCTCCATTCCCTATCACCACACTTTTATTTCCTAGGTTTACTCAGATTGTAGTCATTCTTTAAGGTCTAGTTCAAATCCCATCTTCTCCATTAGTTTTCCTGAGCATTCTCTCTTATACTACTCTCCCTTTTCTTAACATGAAAATACCTATCCTCATTTCACAATTTAACATACTCTTGGAAACTGTATATTACAATAATATGCTATCTTTAAATTATTTGCAAATGTTTTATTTGCTAATGCAACTTTTATAAAAGAAAGTAATATAGTTCTGTATCTAATATTATCTAAAAATTATCTGTTGTCTGATTTTTTTCAGATCTGGTTCTGAAAGTCTATAACCAGCTTTAATCCCACCTGTGTACCAAATGCATGTAAATGTCTTAATGATGAGATAAAATAAGTTATTTGAAAAGAGAATTCCTTAATTTACCAATTTGAGTGCTAGAAGGCAGTTCATATAGCATGTCACTGAACAGCAGGAGTCAAATCATACCCAATAGAGTCTGAGGGGGGTGCAGAAGGGGACGATCCAGATGTAAGGGCAGTCTCTGCTAAGGAGGCCTCCTCCTGTGGTATTGGGTGGTGTTCAAAGAACTTGGAGACAAACAGCAAACTGTGAGGCAAAAACAAAACAAAACAAAACAAACCTAACTTGTGCAAAACCCAGAAGCTTCAGTACATCAGAATACACAGTTATTGGGAAAATATGAGATCAAATTCCACTTTGAAAAATAATTGTTAAATTTTAATTAGTTGTATTTTTGTCTAAAGACTTATTAAAAATATTACATTGTGTTTTCAAAGGCAAGCTCAGAGTCTAACTAATTGTTCTTGTCAGCAAATTCCTACATATTAGAAGGGGAAAACTCATGCTTCATAGTTAAAGAATTAGAAGAACAAGTATCTATTGCTAAATTAGATTATATTATCATAATTTACTTTAAAGTATGGAGTTAAATACTATTTGCTCAGGAAGTGATCTGGAAATATACAGGACCTTAACAGAAAAAACAACAATAATGACAGAAAAGAGATTATAATAGGTTCAGACTAATCTATTAGAAAAACTCCAGCATAAAGCGAAAAGAAATTTTAGGAAGGAATAAACTGGGTATGAAGATTTTATGCCTTACTTTTAAATAAACTGGGGAAGGAGGCACAAAGTGGGGGAGAAAGAGAGGGAGAGAGAAAAGGGGAGGGGGAGAGAAAGAGAGAATATAAAAGTAGCTCCCAAAATAAATCACACATTAGACCTCAAACTATAATGGTCAACTTAATTGAAATGACACATCAGGTCTCTTCCCACAAACTATCCAAAAATGATTTCTATGGACTAGGGGTCTTTATTAATTAAAAAAGAATACAAAATATAAATAAAATGTGTAGTTGAACCTGAACTACAATTTTGGAAAGAAGTTCTGGCATTTCCATGTTATTGTACGTTACAAGCTATTCTCTAATCATACTTTAAAAAAATTCCTTGTAAAAACTACACTGGACAGAAAATCCTTCATGGACTTTCAAGACAACTAGTTTTATAATATGAAAATTTAAATGTAAAATGGTAGACAGAAGAGAGGTTCTTTTGGATTACTTACTCAAGTTGGTCATAATTAACACACATCAGTGGAACCTCTGTACTACAACGCTGGTGAAATTTATAACCACATGTTTGACAGCGGAAACCTTGGAAAAGCAGCTTTCGACAAAAGTCACAAAATGCTAAAGTGAAAAAAGTTTTTCGTACCTACAAAGTAAAAAAAAGCAGAGAATTTCAAAAGCTTGAAAGAACCCTTTTAGAAATTAGCATATTTAACAAAGTCTTAATACATTTATATCATAAAAACTTACATTCTAAAATATAAACATGAAAACCAGAGGGTTCAAGATAGTAGATGGGTTGGGCATGGTGGCACATGCCTGTAATCCCAGAAGCTTGGGAGGCTGGGGCAGGAGGATTGTGAGTTCAAAGCCAGCCTCAGCAAAAGTGAGACACTAAGCAACTCAGTGAGACCCTGTCTCTAAATAAAATACAAAAATAGGGCTGGGGATGTGGCTTAGTGGTTGAGTGCCCAAGTTCAACCCTGGGTACTACCCCCCAGTAAAAAGATAGTAATGGGCAACATGCATTTATCTTCTATCCCAACACCCAAATTAAAAACTCAGAAGTCAAGAAGAATGAGAAACAAAAGACTAGTAAAAGATTTTAGCTTGACAACATAAATATAGAGGCAGAAAATGAGAGAATAAAGGCAAAATGATGGAGAAAGAAGGGTATAATTTAATTATTGTACAAAGAGAAGAGAGAAGGAATGCTGACTGGTGTTGATGAAACAAGAACACCAGTTACAAAGATGTCCAATGGAGGCCAGGCATGGTGGCACACGCCTGTAATCTCAGTGGCTTGGGAGGCTGAGACAGGAGAATCTTAAGTTCAAAGCCACCCTCAGCAACTGTAAGCTCCTAAGCAACTCAGTGAAAGTCTATCTCTAAATAAAATACAAAATAGGGCTGGTGATATGGCTCAGTGGTCAAGTACCTCCTGAGTTCAATCCCCAGTATCAAAAAAATAAAAATAAAAAGATGCCCAGTTGAAGAAGAAAAATTTAAAAAGTAAAGAAAGAGAAAAGGAGAAGAGTGCAATGCTAATATCTAAACTTGATAAAGCAAGAAACTGGCTAAAAAATATTTAAGTGATATGACAGCAGTTATCCAATGAGCTCAAAACAAACTATTAAAAATGAACAGTAGTCTCCTCTGGAGAGGGTTAAGGAGAGAATAAGTGGAGAGGAAGAGTGAGAGAATATAAAGATGATTTAAAAAATAAGTGAAAGAATCAGAACCTATCACCGGTGGTTCAAAAATAAAATGATTAGCTTAACTGAAATGACAGTTCTTCTAAAAATTACCAAAAAGTGATTTCTATGGGTTAGGGTCTTTTAATTAAAAGATAATATATATAATGTACAGCTAAATCGGAAATACAACTTGAGACAGAAATGCTGTACACTACAGGTAACTTTCTAACTACACTTTAAATGTCAAATAGTGCACAGAGATTTTTTTTCTTAAAGTAACTTTCTGAAGTTGATTATAATTAATATACATCAGTGAAAACAAGGCTGGTGAAATTTAGCATTAGAAGCTAGCAAGGGATGGGGCAACAGATACTTATTAATTATAAGCACCTCTGCACTTCTTTTGTTTTTGGTACTGGGGATTGAACCTAGGAGTGCTTTACTACTGAGCTCTATCCCAAGCATTTTTCATTTTTTTGAGATAGGGTCTCACTAACTTGCTGAGGCTGGCCTTGACCTTGTGATCCTCCTGCTTAGCCTTGAGTCACTGAGATTACAAACATGTGCAACTGTGCTTGGCACCTCTGTACTTTTTAAAAGCATATACATGTACCATTTGGGTACAAATATAAAATAATTATTTATAAAAGACAAAAACTAGCATACGAAAATCAGAACTAATTTGGATGAGGGATAAGAAAATCATCTAAATACAAATTTAAAAAAAATTATTTTTTGGTCACAGGGTCTTGCTGTGTGGCCCAGTTTGATCTCAAAGCTAAGATACTTCTGCCTTAATTAGCTTCCCTTGTTGGGTATTCCAGGAGTGGGCCACCACACACAGTAATAAAAAATACTTTTACAAACTATCAATTGTTGGGGGATTAGAATATTCAGGCAATTTAAACTTATTAGTGAATATTTATTTACACCAAACTTAAAAGGCAATCTATAAAAATTCCCTGTCAAAAGGCAAGTGATATATAACATGGATAACAAAAACAAAACTCTGCTAGGGAAAATCCATCTTACCAAAGATAGAATTGCTTAAAATGTACATGTTTTGAGTATACAATGAATAGAAAACATAAGATGGACACACAAATACAAAACTCTTAATAATGTCTATTTCAGAGTGTCAAGAATATGGATGACTCCTGTCTTATTCTTTGCTGTAAATTCTCAATCATCTCAGTTTTTCAAAATTTCAATCACAAAATAATAGTAATAAATATATTTTACCTTATGACCCAGTATATACCTGTAATCTTAATAATACTTACCTGGATATATAATGAATTTCTGAATCTATTCTATTAGATACAGATGCTTTTCACAATACATTACATTGATTCTAATACCAACATTATTTTCAATCAACATTAATGGAAGTAATTTAAAAAGAGTTTCATCAAAAAAATTATATTCTGACACACAATCCTTTTTGAGAACATTTATACAGTTTTAAAAGTGACATTTGTTTTCTTCAACTTTTTCCCCCTATGTGTCACTTTCTAGGGGATATGAAAAAGCCAAATTCTTGTTTCTGGCTTTGCTCCTTTTCCATTTGTCTCTGGTTAGATAAGAAATTAAAATATCTTCTTTACTATTTTTTTCTGCAGCCATTACTTATCAAACTAAGCATCTTTTACACTTCTGGCAGAACTTCAGCAAATAGCATAGAAAAGTATGTTTTCAAAGTATCAATATTTTTCAGTCATCTGATTCTTTTTGCTCACCACACATACTCACTCACCTGATAACTTACTGTTTCATGAAGCCCTCAATTTCCTCTTCCTTCATTAAACTACTCAACTGCTTTTATTCCTATCATTAAACCATATACTATGTGTGTGTGTGTATGTATGTATATATATATGTATTTTCTTTTAAATTTGTTCATAAATACACAACAGTAGAGAGTATTTTGACATGTTATACATACATGGAGTATAATGTCCCATTCTTGTGGTTGTATTTGATGTGGAGTTTCATTGGTGGTGTATTCACATATAAACATAGGAAAGTTATGTCCAATTCATTTTACTGTCTTTCCTATTCCTATCTCCCCTTCCTTCCCTATTAAACTATATTTTAAAACTATGTATAACTGGTTGGTTGTGCACATAAAGGAGGAAAATGAGAGAAGAAAAGTAAGAGGGAGGGATATATGGGGGAAGGAAAACATCTGAGGGGGAGAAAATATGTGAATATGCATTTGAGCATAAATTTTAAGCAACATGTTTGGATCTGTAAGGATACCTTTTGTCAATAAGATGGGCACAGGAAGATCTACCTTTCTTCTGGTTCACAGCTCATTATGCTTCATCTGGAATTTGAGCATAACTATGTATGTACAGTAAATTAGTGGAAGGCCACACACTGTAACATTTAGCTTATGTGAGGTTCGAGCAAATGCAAAAAGCAGACAGGGAAAAGACTGAGGGAGAAGCTCAGTATCCAGCTATTTCTCCTCCTACTTTCATCACCATAGTCCTCAAAAACATTTACACAAATGTGTATATAGATTCTGTTGAGCCCTGTATATAACAGGTTTTTGGAAAATATAAAAATTTAAATAAATGCTATTAATAGAAGAACGGTTAGGTACACCAAATTTCTATTCCTATGAACTATTATGCAATTGTTAAATAAAGCTAAGTGTGATGACATAATTTAGTCTATAATATCCTGTTGAATAAAAAAATAAATAAAAAAAGGTGAGGAATATCACCAGAGCATGGAAAGTAATGAAGCAGGAGAAAAAAAATGAGAAAGGAGAAAACTCTGGGTTTACAGTTACAGGCATATGCTTGTGTATTCAGTTACCCATTTAGTCTATACAAATGTTGACCTGTAGGAGGGGGATTTTCATTTTTTTACTTCATATACTTTTTTGCAGCATTCCAATTTTTTCTCTTAATAACAGACATGTATTTCTTTTTAAGTTAAAAAGAAATCAGGATGAAAATAAACCTCTTTAAACAAAAGTTTAAAGAACAAATTTTCAACTTATGTAAAATGTCAACACAAAATGAGTCAACCATTTTCATATTCCTCAATAAAAATACATTCATAAGAACTTGAACATTTTTGAAATGCCAAAAATGTAAAGGTACATACAAAGTTGTGTGTTGTAAGTGGAACATTTTCCAACACTTCTACATGCAATTCTTCCCCTGTAAGCCAGGAAATATCAGTGTCCCAGCCAATTGGTTTCTTCTCTCTGAAAAATATAGACATAAGTCTTTCTTGGTTACTGTACCTAAGAATACTCACACGCCTAATGCTGAAGATATGAAAATTGGTTATTGAGGGGCTAGTAATTGGGAGGCTTGGCTCCCTGGTCTTCAATCTTCAGAAATTTAAATGGCAATAAATTTTTAAGTTTACTCAAATAACGTATCACTCTTAGACATATAGCAGGGTAAAGAGATGTACTCTTTTCCAGAAAAGACATACGACAGTAAAAAATTGATTATTCCTGTCTTCTCCCTCAAAAAAAAAAAAAATCAAAGGTATGGACTTATCTATTCAGAGAAAAAGAGGCACCATATGCCCTCCAAGACATGATTGAAAATTTGGATTCAAAATCTGAGAGTCTTAGAACAATCTTAGATACTTTCTGAAAGAAAAAATTTAAAATGTTAATTTTGATAAACTTTTTTTGAGAGCATGAGTTTGTATTAAAAATGAGGGAGTGGAGCTGGGCATGGTAGAGCATGATTATGCCTATAATCCCAGCAAATTGAAATTTTGGAAAATATAAAAATTTAAATAAATGCTATTAATAGAAGAACGGTTAGGTACACCAACTTTTTTTGAGAGTATGAGTTTGTATTAAAAATGAGGGAGTGGAGCTGGGCGTGGTGGAGCATGAGGCTGAAGCAGGAGGATCTCACAGTCAAAGCTAGCCTCAGCAGATTAGTGAGACACTTAGCAACTCAGCAAGACCCTGTCTCTAAATAAAATATAAAAAAGGGCTGGGTATGTGGCTCAGTGGTCAAGTATCCTGGATTTAATTCCCAGTACCAAAAGAAAAAAAAATGAGGTAGTGTATAAGGATTCATTATCCAAGTAAATCTCATTCTGTGGTTGAAAAATCCAAAAAATCTCAAACTCCAATAAAGTCATTTGATTAGAATAACAAATATCATAGTTAACACAAAATTAATTAACTCAGTACTAATTAAAAAAATTTCCCCTAAAGTTGCTTTTCAATCCCCTAGGTTTGGATACAGATCCTACAGAAAACTCCAAAGTTTAATGTCTGATTTTCTTTGTAACAAAATTTCACAACACATACAAACCATACCCATCCTGAATTCTGTAAACAGCACAGCACTCTGGGATAAGACCTCGCATCATCAGTGCTTTCTTTAGACTGTCTCGTACTGTAACTCCACACCTTGCAGGTACCTACAGTATAAATATATGTAAGAGGGAAATTTTTTTTTCATATCATTGGGGAAAAAACAAAACCCCAACAACAACAAAACCCTCAGTAATTTATCTTCCTAACACAAATCCTTTAAAATATCATGGATTACTAGGTTAAATGCGATATCATTTCTTATAGCTCACTTAATATTACAGGGAATTACAACCAAAATATCTATTATTTTTAATCTTACTGACCCAGATCACAATTTGATTTTTGGTCTTTTATTAAAGTTATGAAATATTTTAAAAAGGAACAGAAAATATAATTGTACCTATTATAATATATCCATCCATACAATATACCTACCATTGAGAAATAATAGATGTCAGCATTTAAAGTAAAATCAATTTTGGTCCAACATTGTTCAAAGTTGAAAACTGTGCAATCCTTCAATCACACTGATAGTCCTTAAGAGACATCTTACTGACCCAAAACACAATAGGAAGAAAATACTTGTCTTAATGTGCATAATTGATATTTGTTGTTTAGTTACCCAGTGCCCCTATTTCCTCTGGGAACTTGCCTCTCTCTAGAAATCCACATGTCATTAGAGAGGCTATATCAATCTAGAGGCATTACTTTTCTAGCTACAGATGAAATAAGTTGGCTAATGAGCTCCCTATATCCCTAGCAATACAACTAGCTTAAAGCTAGATATATGACATAAACAGCACCCGAGTTATTCCCTAAACCAATATGTGGACATAGGTTGAGAGAAGTTCCTATTTCTACTGCAGTTACAGTAGGCCTAGAGAATACAAATCTGGACACTTCAGGGTGGCCATCTTCCTAGTAGGCAGTACACTGAGAAAATATGGTCACAGAATAAAGCTAAAATAGAAAGAAGTACAGATGACTCTGGGAATGGGGAAGGGTAAGGCAAAGGAAAGAGACAGTTATGCTTGGCCTTTTCCCATGTTCATATCCCCAGGTGAATTTAGCATAGACTAAAGAGAGGCAGTGGGACTACAGGGAGTGCAGTTTTTGCTAGGGGGTGGCATAAGAAGAAGGTGATGTGTTAGTTATTTATAATAAAAATTAATCATCCCATACATTTAAATCACTTCAAAGTACTTAGCAACCCAAATGTTTCCAAAGAATTGGGAATTTTTATCTGAGGGGGTGAAAAACGGAACAAAGATGAATATAAGACAGCTGAATTTAAGCGGTATATTAAAGAAGGAACAATACAGAAAGTTTAATTAGAAGCTGTGATTGGAAATAAAAGGAGATATTTTTAATGGTTATATTGAGCTAAAATCTATCTAGCAAGGGAAAAGCTTATCATGAGGGAGAGGGTTGTTCATGAGAAGTATTAAAGAAGTGACTGGATTGGTACAATTGATCTCATTATTTGTGGAATCCTTATTTGTGAATTTGTCTACTTGCTAAAATTTTAATTCTGAAATCAATACTTGTATTGTTTTTGAATGAGCAGAACAGTGAAAACTTTGTGCCATTTGATGCATATATCTTCCTACTAGTTACTATTTTATTTCAGAAGGTCAACCTTGTTTTTAAGCTTCCACATTTTTTGACATTACAATACTTCCATTAAATCTATCTTATTTGTACTGTTTAATCTAATTTTAGGCTTACATATCTTTAATATTTTTGGTCCCTGAAGCATTGTGTTTTATTTCTGTTCTCTTCACCTTTTCTTTCTTCTATTTTGACACAGACCCTTATAGAATATGTACATACCTTTTCCTACCTCTAAAAGCAATAATCCTGGCTACTTTCTCTTTTCTCTACTATTGCTATTATTGTTCAAAAAGTGTTATTTTTTTATTGTTTCAGACCTCTGGCATTGTGTCTGTGCAAGGCATTTAAGACAATTTATAAAAGCAGATTTATTCTTCCAAAAGGTATACAAAAGCCAATAACCACATGAAGATACTTGATATCCTTAGCTATCAGGGGAACTGAAAACAAGAACCACAATGACATACTATTCCATACCTGCTAGGATAGTTTTAATCAGAAAGACAAATATGAAATAAATGTTGGCAAAATGTGGAAAAAACTGAATCCTCAAGCTGGTGATAAAGTGTAATCATGCAGGTATTTAGGAAAACATCTTGGCAATTCCTCAAAAGGTTACTAGAAGTATATACCCAAGAAAGATAAAAATATATACCCACATAAAAACCTGTACATAAATGTTCATAGCAGAATTATTTCTAATAGCTAAAAAGTAGAAGCAACACAAATACCATCAACAGATAAATATATAGATAAAATGTTATATATACATCTAATAGAAGGGGATATTATTTTGCTATAAAGAGGGAACAAAAGAGCTGGCATGGCAAAATCCACCTGTAGTCCTAGGAGGGTAAAGCAGGAGGATCCCTTGAGTCTAGAGGTTCAATATCTCACCTTAAAAACAAACAAACAAACAAACAAATAAGAAAGAAAGAAAGAAAGAAAAGAAAGGAAGGAAGGAAGAAAGAAAAGGGGAGGACAGGGGAAAGGTAAGCAGAGAAAGAAAAGACTGGAAGGACTGACACGTTATGCCATGGATGGACCTTGGCAACATGCTAAGTAAAAGAAGCGGCATACTTCATGATTACATTACACAAACTGCCAAGAGTAAACACACAAATCTACAGAGATAGAAAAAAGATAAGTAGGGTCTGGGACTGTAGGTCAGGGTAAAGTGCTTGCCTAGCATGTGTGAGGCACTGGGTTTGATCCTTAGCACCACATAAAAACAAATAAAATAAAGGTATTGGGTCTATCTACAACATATAATTTATATATATATAAATTATATATATATGGGCAACCACTTACCTACATTATTTTATATATTATATATTATTTTATATATTATATATATAAAAAGAAAGTAGATAAATAGTTGCATATATATATATATATAAAGTAGGTGATGGTTGTATTACTCTTACGTATGTGTATACAAAAACCATTGTTAAATGGGTGAAATGTATGATATTTGAAGTATCTAAATGTATCTTAAAAAAAAGGAAATTCTGTCTTTTGAATTATAAACTCAAGAAGGAAGACTTAGGACAAGTCACTGTCTGGGGTAACTGGGCAAATCTAACACTTTTAAATTTTTTATTATTATGTTTTGCACATAAACACACAGAGAAAAAGATATGTATCTCAAGCCTAATAGTTTAAATTATATTGGATTTCCTAACTTTAATATTTCCCTTTTGGTCCCTTCCGCATTCAGTTTTATTCTTGTTTTCTTCATTTCTCTTTCTCTTACTGTGACATAGGTTCTTATAGAACTCACACCTTTTCCTTAGACTGTTGAGAAAAATTTTTCTGAGCTAGGAGTCATGCATGGCTCCTGCCTACAATCCCAGCAACCCAGGAGGCTGAGACGACAGGAGGATTGCAAGGTCGAGGCCAGGCTCAGCAAATCGAGGCTCTAACTTAGTGAGACTCTGTGTCAATATAAAATAAAAATTGGTAAAGTGTTGGGTTCAATTCCCAGTACCAAAAACAAAAGCACTCTGCTTTTCTGATTTTAAGGTATTACAAAGTTCTAAGTGTGCGTATTATATGACCAAATAATTATTTCTAGGTATTTAATCTATAAAAATATTCTCAGTTTCAGGATTTATATTTAAACATATATTGCAGCATTACCCAATTATTCATCAAGAAAGAAATAACTATCAGATATTGCAATATATATACATATATAACATATTCATACAGCTATTTAGTATATACAGTTAATATACAAAGGTATATAGTGTATCTTTATTTGTGCATTACCCTAAACTACCATAAAGTATAGTTTTGCATTATGTGAAAGAAGGGTATTAAGTATAAAGTAAAAAGTTAGTTTCTCTTGTTCCAGACAGTATTCCCAACCATGAGACAACCACAATTAACAGTTTTTTATACATGATTCAAAGATAACTCAATGTTTATTCTTATTTATTTATAACAGGAAAATACATTACAATTCTTACTACATATATAGAGTTCAATTTTTCATATCTCTGGTTGTATACATAGTATACTCACACCAATTCATGTCTTCATACTTATATTTTAGATAATAATGATAATGTTTATTCTTTTTAACCACTGTTTTTATTTATGAGATAAGACACCAGGTTTATATGCTTTTATTTTCAGAAAAAAAATGTTATTTTTAATACGATGAATAAAAATTCATAAAATCTGTGAATTACTTCTTAAAATTATACTTCTGATATTTGCCACAAATTTTGAAAATAAAGAATTTAAAACCACCACTGTGAAATAACCACTACAACTTTTAATAAAGAAATTTTAACTGTACTTGAATTTTTAAAAATATTTTTTTAGTTACACATTGACACAATATCTTTATTTTGTTTTATTTATTTTTATGTGGTGTTGAGGATCGAACCCAGGGTTTCTCACTTGCGAGGCGAGCGCTCTACCACTGAACCACAACCCCAGCCCCTGTACTTGAATTTTAACAGGATAAAAAGATAGATCAAAAAACTGAACTCCAAGCAAATACTTCTCACTAAAACAGGCCATCCCTTGAAAAAGTCTCTAGAGGGTAGTCTTTTGCTCTTCCATATAAATATTAGAGAATTGGCTTGTCAGATAAGGCAGGGAAGATGGATAAGACCATTTAGAATTTAAAAATTTTTTTTAAAAATATTTTTTAGTTGTCAACGGACCTTTATTTTATTTACTGATTGATACGTAGTGCTGAGAATAAAACCTAGTGCCTCACAGAAGCTAGGCAAGCGCTCTGCCACTGAGCTACAACCCCAGCCCCTATTTAGATTTTTAATGGATCTGCACAGAATTTATAGACTAATGGGGGAGAAATATAATAGGGAAATAATCAGAAATAAAGTAACTTTTTATTTTATTCTTTTAAAATATATTTCAATCAAATTGTACACATTTTCTTCACAAAGCTTCCCACATATTATTGTATCTGTTAAAATTGTTAAAGAAGGGTATTAAGCATGAAATA